CACGCATGGCGTCGATTGCCGTCCGGCTTCGCGCGAGTGGTGCGTCGGGACCGGCCCGGCCGCGCGACGGCGCCCCCTACCGCCCGGAGTCGTCACTCCACTGGATCCCCACCCCCACCAGGCTGGCCCTGGGAATCCTCGGAGAAATGAGAGAGCCCAGCGAATTGCCAGTAATGCACACTGGAACCGCTGCGAGACCCGGGTTCAAAGACGAGCAAAACCAGGTCCACTGCCCCTGAAGAGCTCATTGCCACTTCCTAATGCATACATGCATTAATTCCTTTACTCAGCCAGTCAGTATTTACTAACATAATAGTGTTTTTATTATAATGACATAATATCGAGTGATTACTCCGTCCCAAGCACTGCTCTAGATCCTGGCCAATGTAGGGGACAAGCATGTACACACAAAAGCATCACTATTAGACATAATGATCAGGCCTCCTTGTGAAGACTTGACCTTGACACTGACTTACAGAGCAGAAAACGGAAACTTCCTCAAATGCCTTCTCCATGAAGCCCTATCCTATTTAGTCCAAGTAGAGGTGATTTATCTTTTTTCTCTCTCACATTTTCATTTATACAGTGGCACTTGGGACTATGCATGTATGTTCTTGATCTTAAATTCCCTTTATTACCCTGACCAGCCCGCTGGATTGTCTATATGCCAAGCACTTAAGATTTGAGATTTCATATTTTTGAAGGATGGAGCATTCATCATATCTTGCATAGATAATGGCTCCTTTATTGTTGAGTTAAATTGTTCCTGGAACTCCCTCTTACCAAATCTTTCTCATGATGGAATTCTGGTTATTGGCTTTCCCAAAAAACTTACAGAAACATCATACATGGACACTATCTCCACTTCTTCATGCTCTTCCTGCATCTCAGCCCAAATGGCTTCTTCCACCTTCTCACAGTTATCCATGATCTGCTTCTTGTCAAATACGAAGGTCAGTTCTCATAATGAATCAGAGAGAATCCAGAAGAGAGTGGTAAATAAAATATTTTAAAATTAGGAATCAAAACTTAAAGAAAAATTTCAATTATTCAGTCTATAATAGTGAAAGGAAGAATAGTAATTTTTGTTGTACACATGAAACTTATATAATATTGTACATCAACTACCTCAATAAAAATTTTAAATTAAAAATAGAAAATAATTATACATAAAAGCTTTTGCACAGCAAAGGAAACCGTAAATAATGGGAGAAAATACTTGCAAATGATGCAACTGACAAAGGTTTAATTTCCAGAATATACAAACATCTCATACAACTTAAAAAAAACAAACAACCCAGTCAAAAATGGGCAAAAGACCTAAACAAACATTCCTCCAATGAACACATACAAATGGCCAATAGACATGTGAAAAAATAATATCATTATCAGAGAAATGTAAATCAAACCTATAATGAGGTATCACCTCACACCAGTCAGAATGACCATCATTCAAAAGTCCACAAACAGTAAATGCTGGAGAGGGTGTGGGAAAAGAGGACCCTCCTGCACTACTGGTGGGAATGTAGTTTAGTGCAACCATTATGGAAAACAGTATGGAGATCTCTTAAAAAACTGAAAATAGACTTAACCCCATGATCCAGCAATCCCACTCTTGAGCATATATCTGGAGGAAACTAATTCGAAAAGATACATGCACCCC